ATTCAATCATGATTATCACAATAGACAATATAACATATATATATATATAATAATATGTTAATATTATTAACAGTTTTTGTTATATCATTTATTATTGTTCTTAACTTAAATTAAGTCGTCGTATCATAAAACTATCCGTTTTTTTAATGAAAAAATAATTAGGATAATAGAATGACATGTGAAAGTTTGAATATCAAATCAATCAAAAAAGTTTCAAATACTAAACTGATAATTTTCGTATTGTATAGGGACCAATTAAGGTATTAGCTTGCTTAGGACTTTCATAGAACGATAGCCAATACTTTTTAATCTTTATCTTAATAAAAAACAATATTCTTGCTTTTTCTATCTTTGAAAAAGACACGTCACACGATTCTTGTGCTTGGCATACGTAGATCGTAGACAAAGATTTATCCCTTCAAAAAAGAAATATACGATCTTCCCAGAATTACCCTTTTAGCTGAATAACCAAATTACCCTTATCGGTTTTTATACTAGTCCATTTGGCTTACCGAAATTGACCCAAATACCCACCGTACGTAAACCCCAAGAAGCCGGCAGTTTGGACTATTTGGGTACAAAAATAAAATTACCGGTCAACTGCTATACCTATTACATTACAAATATACTATAAGCTCTTTCAAAGCTTAAGCTGAAGAAACAACAGAATACTATGTCGAAACAACGACCAATCTTCCATTTCCAAAACCCTTCATGAATCAAAAAACAATGACACGACTTTGCAGGAAACTTGTTCATGCTAACATTAAATGGAGTATACTTGGAAGGGCATCGATTTTTCGAAGGTTTTTTAGGCTCATTTGGGATAGGATTCTTGTTTGTTCTGTAGGAAGACGACCCGTTCACTACAGGAAGTTGACACCCGGGATTCTTCTCCGCTGGAAGGGTGGTGGTTATCGGAGACGACGAAGACGATGAAGGCGAGGCCTTAACCGACAAGGGTACGAGTCGGATTCGGATTTGGTTAGTTTGAAGATCAGTTTGTTAGGTGACTGTCAGATTGGGAAAACGAGTTTTCTGGTAAGAAAGCATGAGTTTTTGGTTTCTTTTGTGTTTGATGAAATTCTTCTTAGAATAATTAACCCTTTGTTTTCTTTTTTCTTTTTTGGAAGATCAAATATGTTGGGGATGAACAAGAGGGGAGCTTGGAAATGTCCGGATTAAATTTAGTAAACAAAACATTATTTGTTCAAGGTGCTAGGATTGCTTTCAGCATATGGGATGTGGGAGGTATATATCTTTGTTTCTAAAATGCAAAACCCAAAGTTTTTCCCTTATTTTTTTCTCATTGTTTTCTATGTGATTTTTCTCCTTTGCAGGTGACAGTAACTCTCTTGACCATCTTCCAATTGCTTGTAAAGATTCAGTAGCAATTTTGTTTATGTTTGATCTAACAAGCCGGTGCACCCTTAACAGGTTAGCTCAAAAACCTGTTTTTCAACTGGAAATAAGCCCCGCAAATGCAAATTCATGATACAGTTTTCTGATTCTTGCAAGTGTTTTGTTGGTTTTTGCAGTGTTGTTGGATGGTATAGTCAAGCAAGGAAATGGAATCAGGTGCTAAAATCAACTTAATCTCGTTGGTTCATACAAATTTGGTTTCGAATATTAATATCTGTAATCCTACAAATAAAGGGTTTAGATTTTGAAACTGCAATAAATTTGCTGATGTGTAATTAATTGCATCTTTAATACAATAATTGACTGGTAATACATAAATTATTTGTTAGTTCAAGAAAGGAACTGTTGTCTTGTAATTGAATGTGGGGAATGGGTGAATTTAATGAGTAAATTATTAGATTGGTGTCAAATTTTCAAGCTTTACTTTGCAAACAATAAAGAGTATTGATGTTGAGCTTTCAGTACTAGGCCCATAATATTAGTGCTCCAATTAATAGGTTGTCTCTGTATTCAGTAAAGAATTTTATCAAGTGGAGCCATTAAGATTCATGATGTTTTATGCCTGTGTTCTTATATCAGTTTCCCAGGTTTTCATTTGTTCTTAATTCAATATGGTTTTTCCCAAGAGTTTTGCAGAAAGCAATTCCAGTATTAATAGGAACAAAATTTGATGACTTTGTTAAGCTCCCCCCAGATTTGCAATGGACTATTGTGACTCAGGTAAATAACTCGCCTTCGTATTCGTGTCATTATCATATTCGATAAGATCGGAATCGAAACAGAAATACCCATTTTTCTATATTACCCGAACTTTTTTATTTTCTAATTATACTATATATATACTTGTATTAGACATACTTGTATTTGACACTTGATCATAAATTCAAGTTGAAGATACACAAGTCATTAATGTGTCATTTATCAAGCATTTGAATTAGAGGAGTTGTTGTCATGGGGGAGTCTTCATTTGTCAACCAGCCATTTTGACAATTGGGACAAATATTTCCCTGTCTTTCTCAAACCGTGTTTAAAGATCAAAACACAAAAAAGGGGGCCACTTGTTGATTTAAAAGTAGTGAATTTGGAATTTGGTTGCTTTGGACAAAGAAACTTCCTTGTAGGTCATAAACCAATTTGATAACAATGTGCGTAGAAAAGGTGTTTCTTTTTTGGGGTAATTTTTAAAGCAATATAATTAACCAAAGTTGAAATTGGAACAGGCAAGAGCATACGTGAAGGCAATGAAGGCAACCCTTTTCTTCTCAAGTGCTAAACATAACATCAATGTGAACAAGATCTTCAAGTTCATCATGGCCAAACTCTTTAACTTGCCATGGACGGTCGAGAGAAACTTGACCGTGGGAGAACCCATTATCGACTTCTAGTACCTGTTTTTTTTAAGATAAAGTAATTTTTAATTTCTTGAACTTTTTTATCCATAATAGTACATAAACTTGAACTCTCTCATTTTTAATCTTTTTGATGATGTATCATCAAGATTGATTAAAAATCCAAGTTCATGAACTAATGTGGATAGAAAAAGGTTTAGAGATCAAGTTGAGAAAATTACCAAGTTCAGGGATTAAAAATTGTTTTATCCCTTATTTTCCCTTTCTTCACTGATTTTTATGTACATAATTGAAATAGGAACGAATCAGAAGATTGAAAAGAGAATAAAAGTTATTCTTCAATCCATTTCTTAGCACCAAATTGACCCCACAACAACCACACTTTGGTCTTTCGTGGTTTGGTTCGCATCTTTTCATTGCCTCTGCTTTTTCTGTATCATTAGTTGTGTCGAATTAAATTGGGACTAAATCTATAATTTGAGCATAGTAGAGGGACCAAAATCAATAAGAAAAATAGGAGAATCTGCTTTCCTTTCCTGAAAGGGTTCTTTATTGTAGGGGGGAATGACGGTGATGAGTGGAGATGGAATAATTCCACTTGGGTTTCAAGCAACTTAAAGAATATGAGAATGAGATTATGGAGCACATATTATAATGCAATTATGGGATTATGGACCGTCCATTGCATTTTAAAATAACACCATAGTCTAACAGGAAACCTTTGAACACAAACATTGTTCTTGTTTTATTAAATATCAGATCATATGGGACCAAGGCTCACAGCATTAATCCTTGTTTTATTCAGGCAGATTCCCTCTCAGCCGCAACAAAACATTAAGAAAAGAACAGCAGGCCTTCCCATGACATTGTTTATAATCATCATTATTGTAAGATTATCTACAATATGAAGATCTTTATCCGACCGAATCCCGGGCGTTCATCGAAATCATGAAAGAGAAATTACAAAAAAAAAACTATTCTGAGCTAAATTCTTCCAGATGTTTCGTCTTCCGTCATCTGTGTTGCGCGATGAATCAAAATTCTCAAACCCCTGATTTTCATCAAGCTTTTGCCTGCAGAAGTGATTGAACAAACATAATTTAAGGATAACGAGAGTCGATCATTCTCAATACAGGCGGACAAAAGATATCGACTTCGTATTGGCATCTATGGATTTACATTTTCAAATATCGCAAGACACGAAAGATACATCTAAGGACCGAAACGTTGTAGGAGGCACTGAGTGGGTGTTTAAAGATGGTCTACAAGCAGATCAAAGACACCAAACATGACTGTTTTTAGAAAACAGAGCTGTTGCCTAGTTCTTAGTTGCATGATCACTCACTTGAGAATACAAGAAGGTTCCTAGGATAGCAATGGCGGCTCCAAGAGCATTGACGGGCTGGACAGGCGTGTGGAAGATGATGATGGAAGAGACTATAACTGATATACGTTTCATGGTGTTGCCGACGCTAAATGTCAAGGGAGAGATCTCGTCGAGGGACATGTACGAGACCTGGTTGTAGAGATGGTAGAAAATACTTTGGGCTGCTACCCACCTATCAAAACACGATAAAATCCACGAAACTTTGTTAATGAACCGGGAAGAATAAAAATATCATGAATCGTTACATCTTGTCCATAAAGAGTATCGAATGATTCAAAATTCACAGAAGAAAAGCTAATTTAAGGTAAACTTGAGAAGCTCACAAAACCTTCAGGATGAAAAGATAAGCATATGAAAATGGTCACATCTAACCTCAATGTTGTACGTGCGTAACTGAATCTTCAATGGAACAATCATTGATTATTACAATTAGCAGTTCGGGTCAGGTTATATACGTGGCTCGAGGCATAAATTTACTAAAGATTAATCAAACTCGATGCATAAATCATCCAATTGCATCAGCTCTTGAAAACGAGCATCGAATCCAAGATCCATGCAGGCATAGATAGAGACTTCTCGGATGGCACTCCATCGATTATTAGTAGTTCAGATTAAAGATAGAATCAATCCATATTCTCTTACGAAATCGTATAGGTGATGGAGTGTCTAACTTCCTCTTTTAGTAGAACCCTAACCATGAGTAAATTCAGATAAGTTTATCTAAGCATGCAACACTGGTCGAGTCGAACGAATAAATCCAGACACTAGTAAGCGAATGGAAACAGAACAAGGAACTACAGCTTAGTACTCTACGTTATTACCAGATAAACTGTGGTCCAGTTTGAGATAAGGCCGTTTTCCATCCCGCCCTCCACAGCTGCGGTCCCTCCACAGCAATTGCAAAAGGTGTGAGAATTACGAGAGACAACAAAGATAGACATGCATAGTAGTTCATCCCGCTAACGGATTTCCCCTTCATGCCCTTCTTCGAGAATATGTTACGGAGGACGAATGCCAAGTTCGATATCATAGCTCCCATAAAACCTGAAGACAGGGAAACCTGATTAAACTATAATCTCGATGCCAGTCAGGACCCTCAAGCAACATAAAAATGCAAACCGAATTAGCGGCTAAAAATAAACAGACAAACATGGTAACACTAACACATTCAGACATTTATAATAACTAAAAATGAAGATCATATATTGAACATTCTTAAGTTTGGTTGTTAAGAAAACCGAGGTTAAAACGAATTTGTACTAAAAGACAGTGCTCAGCATCAAATAATGGAACATTCACCCTATACAAACACACAACTAGAGTAGTTTTGTCTTACAAAAACTCCCATAAAAGTAACAGAAATGATGCTTTACCAGTCATATTAAAGTTGAGTTCGGTTAAAGCGGATAGAGCACAACCGCCAATGATCGGAATAAGAGACAGGTAAACCGAGAGAGGGAAGGTCTCTCCAAGCAAGAACCTTGAAACCAAGACACTGAAAGCAGGTTCACCACTTTTGATAATGTGGGTGAATGAAACAGCAACTTTAGACATACTCACAGTCGCTGCTACATGTCCAATTGTATGTGCCACAGCAACCTATGAAGAAAATTAAATGAAAACTAGTAAACCCAGAAATTCATTGATATTGTAAACATAAGTTGCATAATACCAAATTTTAATTTCCCTTTTTCATTTCCTTCATTTTCTCAGCAATTAGACAAACTTTAAATTCTGCAATTCTAACCTTTTCCCTCCAATACAGTCCAAAACAACATAAAATAAGATGATCCTACAACAATAACATCAAAACCTGAAAAAACAAAAACCCAATCCTTTTCTCTCACTTTCTCAGCAAGTAACTCACCGGAAACAAAGTCTTCCAAAACTCAAAATCTGTTTTTGGGGTCTCAGCAATCCTCGTTGCCCATGAAATTAACATCATCAAAGAGCCACAGGCGAGTGACAAAGTGGAAGTCAACCAAGGATAAGGGTAAGCATTCAAAACCTTTTTGTTATAAATATTGAAAACCACGTTCAACGCCCACCAGGTTGCAAAATAAATCCCGATTTTCACCCTGTTTGCAGCTTCTGATTTCACTTCACCAGCTGCATCAATAGGCTGAGACTTGTCTGCTTCATACGCCTTGCATTGGATCACTAGCCTTTTGTTCCCGATAGACGAGATATGCAATGGTCTCGACACTGAAAGATTGGTTCTTCTGGGGTTGTTTTGAAGATTCAAAGATGGTGAAAAGGAATGTCTGCAAATTGCCGAGGGTGATCTTTTGTGAACAACAGAATTTGAGACATGGATGCATGTAGTTAAAGCAGATTGCTTAATGCTAAAACTCATTTTTTTTCTTCTCAAACTTTCTAAGCAAAACTCAAAAGAGGGTGCTTTTGAGGAAAACTCAAAAGGGTATTTCTTAAAACTTGAGCAACGATCAAGAAAAGACAAATAAAATCAAAACTTTGGAAACAAGGACGACAACTACAAAAAAATACGTTGTGATCAACGATCACGCGAACAAATTTATTGGGAAATAAAAGAATTTTCTTCTCGTTTTTTAGTTTTTAGAAAAAGGTTCTATTCGATGTTTAAAACGAGAAGAAGAATCAAAATCGTTGGGGAAAAATATACATAGAAAGTTCTATAAGCTCTAAAGTCTCAGTCAAAAGCTGTTGTTTTTTGGGTAGTTGAAAAACATAGAACCCAATAAACACTTAGGTGGGGAGAGTTCAAGGAGAGACAACTAATTTAAAACTATGGAAAGGTAACAAAAATATTATAAAATTATAATAATTTAGTTCAACGTAACTTAAAATATTAATTTTTTTTATATATTTCGGTTGAAATTTTTTTTATAATATTTTTAGTTGAAAATAAAAAATATTATATATTTTATTAATATTTTCAATCATGTACATTTACTATAATTTCTTAATCTTAAATTAAATTATCGTGTCCATTTTTCGATCAGTTGCAACATGTGCATTGTAAAAGCGACTGCTAACTGAGTGCAAAAGGGACAAGCTGAGCCAGCATAAAGCTCAGATTAATTATAGCTAATCCTTAATAATAAAAGAGTAATTGACATGCACATACAGTTAATGGTTGATTACTGTGTGCGGTGAAGAAAATGTACTATAAATTTGCATACGATATGGCCTGAGAACTTAGCTCGAATCCCAGTTTTTCCCATCGTTTGTACTGTTTCTATGCTTCATAACCTTCTTTCAAGCCTCTTCTTCTTCCTCCAGGTTTGCTGGTCTAAGCATGAAGCTCATCCAAGGGACTTACCGCTCTCTGGAAACCTTACTACATCCCGAAAAATCAAGAGACCGATGTTCGAGTCCCGAATGATCAAATGGTTGCATCAGCCTTTCAAAAATTGCTCCATACAGAAGGTTCCTATTTACGATTTTCGAACTTCCATGAGCTACCACAAGCTTCACTGCGCTCATGAACTTTGTGAAGGCAAAAACAACCGGTTCAACAGTCTTCACGAGAGCCTTCGAAATGGTGCGTTTTGTATTTCGTTAATTACCTGATGACCCCGTTTATTTTCCGTTTATTTTCAAGTTGATTTAATTACTCATGAACATTATCTCGTGGAATCAGCCTATGTAGATGCCACCAAATTGCAATGCTGGAGCTAGCAGTTATTATTGGCCTCAAGATTTTATACGCAGATGAATTGAGTTACACAAGCCCTCCATTTTCTGAGTATATGAGTGTTTCACCTGAACCACCTTGCCTAAGGTTGAATATTCTGCGCATCGACTCAAATCAAACCTCATTTTTCGGAACCCAATGTTGATATTCATAGTTCAACTGTGGCCTAATTCACCTAGAACGAAAGTTTTTGTATATTTCCAATCGTTCTGATTTCCTACTGTTAAACTTCACACTACATTCATCGATAGTACAAATTCTAGATGTTTCAATGAGTGCAGTGAAGATTGCGGTAGCTCATGGAAGTTCGAGAATCGTAAACGAGGACCTTCTGTACGCAACGGTTTTTGCAAAGCTGACACTATCCTTTGGTCGAGACTCAAACATCAGTCTCTTGATTCTTTGAGATGTAGTGAGGTTCCCAGGAACAGTAAGTCCCCTTGGATGACCTTCATGGTTAGACCAGCAGCCCTGGAAGCAGCAGAAGAAGCTTGAAAGAAGGCTATGAAGCAGAGAGACAATATAGCGGTGGGAAAAACTGAGATTTAAGTAGACCATATTGTATGCAGATTTACAGTACATTGACTTGGCACACAGTACCCATTCATTAGCTATATAATGTACATCATTAGCTATATTGTATGCAGTTGGCTATCATGTATTAAATAATAACATAGCATGATTTTTAACCTTTGGGGGTTTGAAGGAAAACTCCAAATCAAACTCCTAATTTTATCTTAAATTGTTGAAGAATATAATAACCAAGGTGGTCTCATATTATATATCGGTTTTCATGAGCCCATTGCTCAAAAAAAGTTCTATGAAAAGTTGTTCCAAAGCATTACACAGTAAACACAGTCTGAAATTAAGTTCTAAAACATAATTCCGAACTACTTAACCACTGTATGAAAATCCCAACAACATTCCAAGTTCCAAACCCCTTTGGTTTACATAATCTTTCAAACAACATAGAAGGAAACATACAGGCAAAGAGGGACAATTCATTCAGCTTTCTTCATCCCTATTTCCCTCCGAGCAGGCCGTTGATGGCCAAGGAAACCTGCAGTTCTATGAACAATGAATCCATTAACATCTGCAGAATGTAAGAACAGAAAAAGGGTAGCTCGAAACTTACCATTACAGAGTACAGACTGTGTTGAATTTAAAACTCGATTCTTCATCAGTTTCTTGGAAATTGCATCCCGTACCTATTAGCTAACAATACCATAGCATCCCTGATCGAAGCAACGGTCGACGACAAGAGCACATCGATGGTTTTAAGCGTCAACGCTGGTATTAACTCAGTGCTTGATAAGCTGTCCGCGCTTTGAAATGCTACCGTTAAGATACTTCCCTCGGGCCCATCTCCTTGCCCAGGTGGCTTATCAGGCAGAATGGCGAACCCTGACGATAAAATACATGGATCATTCGGGTTCCGCATTCAAGATCAGTGACATGGCGAAGGTATCCATCGGTGTGAATACGATATACGAGCCAGTTTCGTCGGTATAGCTTTCTTGCAGATACAATATGTCGATTTTGTTCGGAGACGACTGCAAATTTCGTAGAATATATACTTATGAGTTAGTTTATATGGAAGCAATTGTAATGATAAGAACGGAAATGGTAAGCAAAACTTACGTTCACTTGCAAAACCGAGACTCGATTCTGAGGATTTTCAGCGGTTATCACATAGGCAAGTTCTCGGACAAGTCGTTCCTTTGAAAGCAAATCCCACTGCATATTCAACCATATGAAAGTTCATGTATGACATATTCATGTTTGACATATATTTATATCCGACACTCGTGTGTATATATATATATGTACATATCTTTACGTACCTTGTGTCTCGAATGTTCGTTACGAAGAAAATCGAACAAGACGTTCACCGGAACCGGGATTCGAACAGAAGTAGTGATGATTAAAGTGTTACTAGGAGGCTTCCCGGGAACAGCTAATGTATTTCCGAATCTGAACCTAACATCTTCAGCACCAAAGTTTGAAGGCAATCCCATCCATGCATTCTCAGTACATGAACTAATGTTCATGAAGAATTTTCTCGTCATCTTTTCAGCCACCTTCAGCATACTCTCCCTCCCAGGTTGCGGTATCAAAACTGAACAAATCGATAATTCGGGACGCGCTCCAACGGTCAAGTCCGTAATTCGAAATGAAAAAAGAAAGAAGAAAATAGCATTTACCTCCGGTATATGTAGGAGTGGTTCTAGCCATGCAACTCGCCAGCCATTGGCAATGCCTGTGGAGCACGGCGATCCATCGTTTGGCGCTAAACGCGAAACCGGAGTTGACGATGGGACGGAAGAGAGGGTGAAGATATTTGTTATCGACTTCGACGTGTTCAACCCAAGTGACGTTGGAGGCTCCACCATTGTTGGGGATTTGTTGGATTAAACAGCCTGATGGCCTTCTTTTGAACTGGATTTGAGGGTATGGGAATAGATTCTCCAAGGAAACATCAACCACTCCCCATGTTCCATGAGCTACAACCTTGCAGTACCTCGCGAAATAGCTTTGTCGAGTTGTATTAATGGTGTGGACTGATGAAATTCAGCTGACATCTGAAATGAATATATGGACTGAATATGTAATTATCTTAAATATGTATTAATCAGAGAAAAATAAACTAATGGATCGTGAAGAATTTTTAAAAATCATAAATGGATTTAACTATTCTAGTAAACTCAACAACTCTTTCCTTACAAAATAATTGTAGGAAATCAAAATCAAAATGAACTTAAAGAACTAAAATCACAATTGAATTTGATAATTCCCTTAAACCCTAAACCTTAAATCGAAATCAAAATGAACTCATGCTGGATTTGATGACTTCTTTAAACCCTAGACCAAAATAAAAATGAGCTTGCAGAGCTTTTAGTTAAAAAAAATTCAACCACGACATAACTCTTTCCTTAAAATCAATTAGAGGAAAATAAACACAAATTTCATAAAGAGTTCTCAAAAAAGTATTGTTAAATTTGATAATTCTAGTAAATCCTAAATCGAAATCAAGATGAACTCATATGATTTTTAGTTAATAAAGAAATATTCAATCTTGACACAACTCCTTAAGAATCAATTAGAGGAAATAAATGAATGGATCATAATTTTTTTAATAAACTTGAACCAAAATCAAAATGAACTCATAAGGGGTTTTTTAAGAAAGAAATGTTCAATTATGATACAAAACTTTCCTTTAAATTAGAGGACACAATGTATCGTAAAGAATTTTCAGGAAACTGTAATTGGGTTTGATAGTTCACTTAAAACCATTAATTGAAATCAAAATGAACTCAAAGTTAACAAAGAAATAACTGTGAAACAACTCCTTTCTTAAAATTTTATGTGATTCTTTCCTTGCATAAATGGATTGTTTTAATCAAAGAAAGATTTCACAAGCAAAACAAAAGTATTTATGCATTATTTATTATAAAACTCCAACGTGAAGGATTCCATGCATGCAATATTGCTGAGATCTCAATAGGGCATGAAATTAGAGATAAATAAATTGATTTTGAGGTTTACCACTTGAAGAACTCCATTACAGCTCCCATCAACAGTATCCAAAATAACTCCTAGCAGTGTAGCTCTCGAGACAATGCTGGAAAATACCATCGACCAATCCTTCTGATCAAAAGAAAATGAAAATAATTAGTTCATAAGTATAAAACTAAAGGGCACAAGGGAAAACGT